CCCGAAACCCTAAACCCCTAACCCTTCGCCCCTGGTGTCCCCTTGGGAGGCCTCGGCGCGTTGCCCGAGGTGAAGCGCCTGCAGACCTGAGTGGACTCCCGGGTTCCCTTTCGGTTTAGGGTTTAGGGTTNNCAGAGGCTCCAATGTAGTTCCTTTTTTGCTCATATGTTAAGGCTTTCGGGCCCAAAGACCCTATTTTTTGAGGCTTTTTGGGCTATGTTGATGCTAAGGGTAACAGGGTTCCCTTTAAGGCTTTAGGGCTTTGGGTTTAGTTTAGGGCTTAGGGCTTAATTTAGGGTTAATGGTTTAGTTGAGGGCTTAGAGTTTAGGGTTTAGGGTTTAGTTTAGGGTTTAAGGTTCAGTCAGGGTTTAGGGATACTGTGGGGATCTATATCATAGGGTTACAAGATCCGCGCGGAGCTTGAGGTGGGTTTATTGGAAAACAGTTAACAGCGTTTGGATTAAAAGGACTTCGGCAACATGTCGAGACTGTTTTTGGAAAGCATTCTGGATTCAAATAGTGTTCAGGATGGCATTCCGCGATTGGGGCCTTCTAGGTCCAACGTACTTGTCACGGGCCCTAAACCGCTAAGCCCAAACCCTTCTAGACGCCTCAGAAGGGTTCTCCAAATACAGAACACTTCTTTCCACTCTTTATCCTCAAAGCACCCCTGTTGGATTGGGTGTCCATATTTCTGCTACAGGTGTATAGGGCTCCTTAAACAAGGGATCTATGAGGGTTCTTGAATTCGTGGGTCTATAGCAGCGGCTGTGGCATAAGAGAGAGCGGCGAGTCCAAGGGAAATTCTCACCAATCACCTGAAGAGCACAGTACTGCCTTAACTCGGGAATATACCAAGGATCCTTACTATAGTTTATAAGGTATACTCCTCAAGATCGGGGTGCTCTTTTTGACTTGACCTGACAGACAGAGCCCCATACCCCAGTCCTCTTAACGGCATCCCGTAAATCGATCTGCAGGACAACACCCCTCATCCCCATCGCTCAACAACACTCAGAATAGGGATTTCGGGTACACGTCGTATACTTTTCATTCATTTCTTGTAAGGAATATTCATATTCGGGTTTCTTTGAACAGTTTTTCCTTTTGCCCTGGAAACCTTGAAGAGCGGAAGATGACCTGCTGCTCAGCGGCATCCGACGCGCGTGTGGCTTCCTTTGATCCCCGACGGTGAGAGATAGTCGAAATATTCGATAATCTTCATCATCCCCTAAACCCTAAACCCTAAACCCCATCATCATCATCATAATCATCATCATCACCATAATCCTAGAGTGCTGGGCTTTCGGGTTGGGGCCTTCAGGGCTTTTGGGCTTCAGCTTTGTGTCCGGTCTCAGCTCCCAAGTTCGGTATCTGGGCGAGAGAATGGGGCAATGGGCTTGGAGCTTAAGATTTTAGGGTTTAGGGTTTGGGGTTTGACATGGAAGGAAACAGTTGGAAGTCCGACGGCTTCGAGATTCTATGGCTTCAGGTCCCGAATTCACACATCCGGAACCCGGAAAATAGTAGGATCTTTGTTACAGCCAGTCTTCAAGAAGCCAAGCACCAGGCCTACACAGTGAGGGCTTCGAAGTTGAAGGACAAGTTGAATAAGTGTCGAGAGGACGGAGCGGGGGTTTCTGAAATTGGGGGGCGGGGTACCTCCTCTAGGATACGATCTCGGATCAATATCAAAGTTCCTGATTTTCTGTGATATTGGGTTGAGGGCTCAGGGCTAGGTGATTTTGAAACAGGCTTCTGGGGCTTCTTTTCTCGTTGTCCGGATGGTTCCAAGGCCGTCGTGTAGAAGGTGCTAAGCACAGGGTCTATAGGAGTAAGTACCCAGCTAGTAGTTTTTCAAGAACCAAGGAGAGCCGCAAGATGCGATAGTGATGCTTTGTTGCAACAGCGACTCATCTCATCCCCGTACCAGTCGTTGAACCCTAGCTGCCGGTCACAACAGCGACAGTCCTAAACCCGAAGCCCGAACCCCTGAACCCTAAACGACCTGCGTGAGCAAGCCATTGAACCCAGGGCATGAGCGTATAAACCTGAAAACACCCTACTGTGAGTTACAGGCCTAACTTGAAAGAACATACTGGTTCTGGAAAGATCTATACTGTATTCAGGTTGTGCATCCCTAAAACATATAGTGCTACTAACAGTTCAGGCCCATATTTGTTCGACCAGCATTGAACCCTTCAAGGAACCCTCGAAAGAATCCTTAGAGGAACCGTTGAAGGAACCCTTCACCACCTTTGCACATGCCCCAGTAAACCGTAACCCTAAACCCCCAAACCCCCAAGCCCCTACACCCCTCTAAACCCTAAACCCTCAAACCCCTAACCCCGGAACCCCTAAACCCTAAACCCCCAAACCCCTAAACCCTAAACCCTGAACCCCTAAAACCCCACACCCCCTGAACACCCTACACCCAAAAAAGTTGGCCCCGATTTTTTGCAGACGGAGCAACCTCGCAGGCCAGAGAAATCATCACCAGCATGCCCACTTTGTTCTGCGGCCACAAGGGAGTTTCCGAAAGTAAGGGGTACCCTATTTAGGGGACATTATAATAAGGATCCTGCTATTCAAGGTATATACTATATCAGGGTCCCCTATTTTCGGAAACCCCCACAAGACATTCATAAAGAGATAAGTAGTTTTGGGTTTAGGGTTGAGGGTTTAGTAGGGGCAATCAATGTAGGGCCCTCAGTAGTTTAGGGTTTGGGGTTTAGGGATAGTCTAGGGGCCTTAAGAATTAGAATAGGGTTTTGGGGTATATGATACTATAGTTTTTTTTAAGGAGCACCCAAAATACCATTGGTAACAATTCCGGCTTCTACATGAAGGCTCTTAGCAAGGGGTTTAGGGTTTAGGGTCTGCGGCCAAGGAATCCAACAGTTCTGAGGATTCTGTAAAGGTTCTGTAAGGAGTCTTCTTGTTTGAGGATTTGGGGGTTTATATTTACTAAGGAGGGGACGTAGTAAGTAGGCGTTTGATAGAGTTGCAGGTAGTCTAGTGAGAGTTGTCCTTTTGATACCTCTAATATAGGGGCCTTAATACATTGGAATAGGGTTTGGGGTACACTATACTATAAGTATTATAAGGAACTCCAAAACCCTATTCTATTTATTAAGGCCCCTACATTACTTGCAACCTACTTACTTACTAAGTCCGCTGACCCTCTAAGTATGGGGATGGAAACCGCTAGGGACCTAGGGTTCAAACAGACATTGTGCGGGCTTGTACAGGAGGTTTAGAGTTTAGGGTTTAGGGTTCAGGAATTGCAAGGAGAATTGAACACAGAGCAAGTTTCGACACGGTTTCCAGTACACAACTGCTTGAACTGGCAGCGTGCGTTTCAACAGTTTGAGGACGGTTCAGAGAACGGGGCTTGCAGAGAAATGCGAAACGCTCGGAGGTAAATAAAATCGGTACGTGTAAATAAGGAGAGCTATTACTAGGTAGTCAGGCCTCTGCAATATGTTGAGGGTTCAGGGCATGCGTGGAGGAGGGTACGAAAGCAGAGCAGGACGCGCCCGATATCCAAGCCAGGAAGTGAAATCCAGACCCCCGAGTCTCAAAGTCACAGGACGAAAAGAACCCCCTTCTGCTAGAATCGGTGTCGTGTTTGGGGCCTGTATATTGTATGGGCTGCTTCAAACAGACCTGAAAAGGTATTCAAAGGGTTGGGTCAGGTGGGAAACTAAAATGCATCTAACATCCCCTCCCGATTGATCCGTAATGTATCAATATATGGCCAAGCTCATAAGCGTGTAATGTCCGTGCTACTCTGAAGCATCAAAGAGGAAACATGAAAACTCAAGCCAAAACATCTGAAAACTGAAAGGGTCTTTGTTTAAAGCTTCAACAGGCTTGTGAGAACTGATAAAACTGAAAATCTCAAAAAGCCTTAAAAGCGGCCAACTGAAAGCGCAATCACTGACATGTCTGACATGACTGAGAGCAAGCCCTAACATGACAGACAAGAATGCATGTATGACATGTGAGCTGCGGCCCACCGTCCACCTGAACCTTATATTCTACGATTCTACCTATTAAGGCCCCTAAAACCCTCCAAAAGTCCAGCGTCAAGGTCCTGGTCAAAGGATGGGAGCAAGCCCAGGTTGCTCAGGGCAACCCACACCTCCACCTGCATACAGGATCGCGGGACTAACTACTCAATTCAAGGGGCCATCATATGTTCAACAGGGTTTTTGGGCAGTAAGTATACTATGCATATAATCAGGAACTTAAAATAGTGTTGGTGAGTATTTAGGACTTAGTACAGTAGGATGACCCAGCTTAATTTGTTACTACCCCAAATCTTAAACCCTAAACCCCAAACCCTACACCCTGAACCCTATAACGCCTACACCCTAAACCCCAAACCCTATAGACCCTTGTAACTCTGCTTTGTAAAAAGCTTCAGGCAATATATCGAATCCAAGAGGCGTAGTTTTTTTGGGAATTTCTTCTGGCGCAGTTTCCATAGAAAGGTTTAGGGGTTTATAGGGCTTATAGGGTTTAGGGCTTAGGGTTTACAAGGCTTATAGGGTGTATAGGGCTTGAATGGTTTAAAGGGTTTAGGGTTTAGGATTTTATGCTAGCTTCTTATTGTTCCCCATTCCGACCCCCTAGAGGAGGGGCTTGGGCCGGGCTTGGGGTCTTGGTTCAGGGGCTTGAAGGGCTGAAGCCGCTGCGAACACCGAAATTTCTTGAGAGGCTCTGCCCACAGCCAAAAAGACGAGAGGCTACACCCTAAACCCTAAACCCTAAACCCTAAACCCTAAACCCTAACCCCACACCAAACGTGTTAAACACTCAGAATCTGAAAGGGCTAAGGCTAAGGATTATAGGGTTTAGGACATCAGGGTTTAGGACCGGGAGTTTTCTACCCCACACTCAACCTCCAAAACTCTAACCGCAAAACCCTCAACCCCAAACCCAAAACCCTAAACCCTAAACCCTAAACCCCAAACCCAAAGCCCTAAACCCTAAACCCTAAACCCTAAACCCCCAAACCCAAAGCCCCCAGCAGGGTCGTTGAGGAATGCTGGAGGATCCCGGGCCTTTGTCTGTGAGCTTCCCCCCCGATTCCTTACAGCCTGTCCTTAACGCGAATATGTCGACCTTGTGAGAATAATCCGAATAGGCTTTTGGGCTACTCTAAAGTATAGTTATACTAAGGAACCCTCAGGAGCAATATTGGTAATTATTTCGGCTTCTAGCTTCAGAAACTGAAGCACCCGAGTATCGGCCTCGTAGCGTGCAAGGTTTAGGGCTCAGTCGAACAGTTTGGTCGTTTCTTGTGTGCCTAACCCCCAAACCTTGACAGGTAGGTAAAGTCATGGCCCAAAAAATAGCATGCTTTTGGGGTCCGGGGAGGTAGGGCTGTAGGGCTTTTTTGGCAGTACGGTTTGAGGTTTAGGGTTTAGGGCTCAGGATTTCTGGCCGCAGCAAGTAAATCGAAGGGTCCTTCGCTTGGGATCTCTAACGCAACAAACCGCAAGCCCTGGACCACAAATCCCGAAACACCACCATTTGGTCCTACGGGATTTCTGAGACACTAGACGAGGCATTGGTAATAGATAAATTCGAAAAAATGCATACCAGTATACCTTAGCCCTAAATACTTATACTCTGACCTACCCCATGACCGTGTTCAGGCCATCTATTTTGGGTATGCTGTCACGGTGTCGCATAGCTTGAAGACCATCTGTACTCCTCAGGCGGTAAGCGGCAACAAAATACTTTTCCGAATTCCTTGGACAAAGGAGAAGCATCAAACGCAAGCACATAGCAATTATTGGCAACATTATAATACATATGGCAGAAATATTATTCCTTATTAGGGTTCATTATTATTATACGTATTAAACGCCACCTGCTTCCTGAGCATGCCGCTGTGAGCGCTCGCGTCTACAGGTCGGCAGCGAGAATCCTACCATATTTTTTGTATACTATAGCGTCTTAAAACACGTATCTTAGAGTCTTACAGTCTATATTGTAGTACTGTACCTTATGATATAGTCATGATAGCATAGACTACAGACAGTGGTCCGTCTGCACTTTCGTCAGCAACTGAACTTCGGGCTTGCAAAAGCCAGATCATGGTGCTTCATCCGAAATACGGCATAAAAGGCTCCTTCACACTTGGTTAGACTTGTGTTGTGGCGGATAGTGTTATTACGAACCCTGGAACAGGGGCTAAGGAATTCAGGGGTTAGAAGTCTAAGCCTTGCGGTTTTCGGGCGCACGCGCGCGTGCGCGTGCATATTCAGACCAATGCGGCATGTGAAGGTCTAGAGTGTAGGATGGAGGCTGCAGTGTTGCAGGCTTCAGGTTGAGGAGCTGCATTTCTGCACGTTTTTGTAAAAACCCCCGACAGCCTAAAATCCTCTTTGCCCGGTTCAGGCGCGAGGAGCCTTCTTCAGCACGCCGGAGTGCGTGTCGTCGAAGCTATGGAACAAGTCTTGTTGCGCCTCCAACTCCTCATTCAGGCGGCTGTGGTCAGCTTTTCGAGGTTCATAGGCGGAATAGCGGAGCTTCTCCAAAATAGAGGCCGGAGTAGCTCGTCACAATAGGTTAAAGGAAACTACAGGTGGGGAGGGCTTCTATAAGGCTTCTATAAGGTACATAGACCTTCTATAAGGCTCCTATAACGGTAACTACCCACCTGATTGTGTCCTAGAATAGGGCTCCATTTCTAGTTTTAAGGGCTAATTACATAATTACCCATAGGCCCTAAAGTAGTTCCTTTTGGGGGTTCATATATAGAATCCCATAAGGTAACCCCAAAAAGGAACTCTGATGGGGCCTCTGGGTAACATAGGCTTCAGGGTCCGTCGACTCTAATCGGTGAAGCAAAACAGAACCCCTGAACCACTGCCCCCGGACCATCCCGAACCCCCCTATTTCCCCAAGCTTCAACCTACCCAACCCCGGATCCCTAGTATAGGGGCCTTACATATTCGAATAGGATTTTGGGGCCCCTTATACTACAGTTATAAGACGGAACCCCCCACAAAGTAATTTTGGTCATTGTTTAAGCCCCTACATGACAACTCCCCCTAAATCCTAAACCCCCAAAGCCCTACAACTCCCATTTTATAGTATCCCTTATAGTAACCCTTATAGGATCCCTCTTGCCCCAAAGCCCTAAACCCCGCAACTCCCATTTTATAGTACCCCTTATAGTAGCCCTTATAGGATCCCCTTTTAGGCCGCTACATTGCAACCCTAAACCCTAAACCCTAAACCCTAAACCCTAAACTCCTACTCCGCCCAGCCCTGGGCTCGGGCTCCTTTCGAAACTCTTGGAAGAGGGTGCGGCTCCGCAGTCCCAGCTCCTGTCCAGAGAAACATGCTCTAGGGCCATTGGGCTTATAGGGGTTAGGGGTTTGGGGGTTTAGGGGCTGTAAGGGTTTAAAGTTTAGAGGTTTAGGGTTTAGGGTTTAGGACTTAAGGCCATGAGGGGTACTGGACAAGGGACGAAGACGCCTTGTCCCGAAGGCTGTCCCCCCCCCACTCCACAGCCATCGCAAGCAGGGTCCCCTACTCATCCCACACTCCCCGGAGTACGGAACGGCAGATACCATCGTCCTGAAGCCGGTTTAGGGTTTAGGGTTTAGGGTTTAGGGTGGAATGCCTCAGACACTGAGGGTTGGACCTCGAAACCCCCCAAAGTGATTGAACCTCACACCCTAGACCCCAATCTCCTGAAGCCATCGAGCCCTAATGGAGCCTTCCCCGGTAAAACGCGTGTACCACCCGATTCATTACACACCTGTACAACAATAAGAGCGCTAACATAACCCTGGGGATTTAGCTGGCATCTTCCATCCATGCTAGGGGTTTTGCTTATTCGCTAAAAGGTTGTTGTCGATTGTCTTGTGTTTAGCTAAGGGCGTTTTGGCTTGACAAAGTACCTTTTTGAGGTCGATATCTATATGGGGGTTTCCGAAAATAGGGGACCCTAATATAGTACCCTAAATAAAAGGATCCTTATTATAAGGACCCCAAAATAAGCAAACTCCTTTTGGATAAAAAACCGAATCCAGGGGGCCTGAACAACTAGAATGGGCCTTGGGGTATGCTATGGTACAGACTGCAAGACTGTACCAAGCGATGCTACCATGAGCATAAGACTACGTGTTGATCCTAAAGGCTCAGAGACATTTCTGATACCTATACTTGCCAAGTAGCTCCTTAGTGTTCAGTTACATGGTTCAGTGTAAAACGGAACCGCAAACAAAAAGGACGAGCCTGTCCTACCTGGAAACTTAGAATATCGTAAGCCCTTGAACCTGAGCCTCCGAGACTAAACCTTAGAGCCAACAAAGAGCACTAAGAATCCTACACCGACTTGGCTGAGGTACACCCTAAACCCAAAACTTGGCTGAGGTACACCCTAAACCCAAAACTCCAAACGAAGAGCCCTGTAAACCCTAAACCCTAAACCCCACACCCTAAACCCTAAACCCTAAACCCCAAAACCCCAAGCCCGAAACCCTAAACCCTATAAACCCCTAACCCTATAAACCCTAAACCCTGCCTTGAAAGGTTCCTTCCACGGTATGCTTTGGGGATTCCGGCGTTTGAGGTTTGCTAGCTTTGGGTTTAGGGTTTAGGGTTTAGGGTTTAAGGTGTAGGGTTTAGGGTTTAGGGTTTACAGGACTTGGGGTTTGGGTTTGGGTTTGGGGTTTAGGGTTTAGGGTTTAGGGGGCCCTATAAGGTCTCGGAACATGATTCCTAAACTAAGATCTGCCTCAACCCAAGACGAAGAGATGTAACATGTCCCAGGAACATGCCCTAGTTATTATGTAACCCTAAGTTAGACCCTAAACCCTCAAACCCTAAACCCCAAACCCCTCGTCACCTTATATACTCAGACCCATCCCGTCTCGTCCTCTGCTGTTTGAAGCTGTCGCTTCGCGGCCAGGCGCCCGTGCGCCTCCTCCAAAAAGTCCACCATCACCTCATCAAAACCCCCTGGCTTAGGGTTTAGGGTTTAGGGTACCCTAAGGGTCCAAAGGACCCAATAATAAGGTACTCTGGCTGCGGATAGTAGTTGTCTAGGCTACTATTTGGGAGAGTATATGGTTATCAAGTACTTGGACCCTTCAGGATACAAGCTGTTATTCGGGGGGGTGATAAAGAATTTAGTTTTGAAGTATACGTGTTTTTTCAATCCGTCAAAGACTTCCCAGCTCATCCTTACCTTAAGCCTAGGACCCCAAACTACGGGAACTATGGTAAATTCCTTATTATGGGTAATGCAGGATTTATATCACCATTACCTTAAGGACCCTAAACTATGGGAACTAGGGTATATTCCTTATTATGGGTAATGCAGGATTTGTATATCATCAATACCCATAATAAGGACCTATGCCATACTTCCCATAGTTTAGGGTCCTTAAGGTAATGCAGGGTTTAAATATCATCAACCCTAGAACCCCAACTCCCCCATAAAGTCACCGCAGAGCCAAATCTGCGGTCTCTGCCTCGAAGCCGTCCTTGTCAAACTTCATGTCCGGCAGGAGCCTCGCAGAGAACCCGGTGTGCTTAGGGGGTTTAGGGTTTAGAGCTCAGGGTTTAGGGTTTACGTCCCAGGGTTTAGGGTTCAGGTTTAGGGTGTAGCAACAAACTCAGGTCAGAAATGCAGTGCATGTCGTCCGTACATCCTTGCAAGCAGGCTTTGCCCCAGAACAACACGCTCACAAGCGCTCGTATAGGTGGCGTACCGTTTGGTCACCGGCAACCAAGCCCCAAACCCCTGAACCCTATCCCCGAAGCCCCTGCTGTAGGGGCCTTAATCATGAGTATAGGGTTTCTTTAAAGGGACTATTCTAGGGTTTATAGGGTTTAGGGTTTAGGGTTTAGGGTTTAGGGTAGGGGCCTTGATCATGAGTATAGGGTTTCTTTAAAGGGACTATTCTAGGGTTTAGGGTTTAGGGTTTAGGGTTTAGGGTTTAGGGTTTAGGGTAGGGGCCTTGATCATGAGTATAGGGTTTCTTTAAAGGGATCCTTAAAGGGATCTATAAGAGATCTATAGTAGGGCTCATAGGGATAATATAGGTACTTTGTTGGAGTTACCCTGTATGATCTATAACAAGGGCTTTATACTAGGGTCCTTGATAATTAGAATAGGGTTTTGGGGCCCACTCTACTACAAGTATTATAAGGAACCCACCAAAATAGTATAGGTATTTATTAAGGCCCCCACATTATGGGTGTCGGTTTTGGGGGTTTAAGGCTTTGGGTTTCGGGCGTCGGTGTTGGGGTTTAGGGCTTCGGGTTAGGGGTTCCGGTTCTGGGGCTTGGGGTCTAGGGCTTAGGGTCAGGGGTTTAGGGCTAGCGTCTAAGGGGTTCTTCCATGAGGTTTAGGGTCAATTTGGTGTTGGCGTTTCGGGTGCTGCAGCTCCGGGCATTCGGTGCTATGTGTGCATAAGTCCACAAATACATACATACATACATACATGCATACATACATACATGCATACATACATACATGCATACATGCATACATACATATATACGTATACATACAATGATATTAGCAATAACAATAGTAATCATAATAATCAGACCAATCATAATAGTAATAGCAATAGTAATAGTAATAGTAATAGTAATAGTAATAGTAATAGTAATAGTAATAGTAGTAGTAATAGTAATAGTAATAGTAATAGTAATAGTAATAGTATCAGGAACAACACCAACCACCACCACCACCACCACCACCACCACCACCACCAACAACAACAACAACAACAACAACAACCATAACAATACTAATGATGATAATAAAAATAATAATATTAATAATAATAATGTATATATATATATGTACTGAATGAATGAATGAATGTATGTATGTATGTATGTATGTATGTGTGATGTACATGTAAGTGGTAACTTCGATATCGAGTTCAGGCCGTTGGGCTAAAGTCGTTCTGGGCCTGGCCTTGTCGCCATGAGCTCTGGAATAATCCCATCACAGCCAAAGCGGCTTAGGGTTTAGGGTTTAGGGTTTAGGGTTTAGGGTTTAGGGTTTAGGGTTTAGGGTTTAGGATCCCATCACAGCCTTACTTGTCGGGTATGATGGGGAACTAAAGGTTAACCTTTGGGGTTATATAGGGGTTATATAGGGATTGTAGTACCCCAAAAAGGTTAAAGGTTACCTACCCGACTACTAGGCAGCTAAAGCGTGGCGATGATTCTCGCCGCAGCCTCGAGCTATGCAAAGCTCCCAAGCAGTCCAGAAAACCGTCCTGCGCAGGATGCGGCCCTCAAGCGCAAACTCTGAACTCGTATTCTGCCGAATTGAAGCCTAAACCTTGGGTACTGCCCCCATACAGTAACAGTCTATAATAGGGCTACTATTAAGGGCCTAATATATCCATAATATAAATATTATCCAGCTGTTACTGAGTGGGGTCAGTACCCAACCTAAACCCTAGGATGCCCAGTGAATATTTCCAATATTACCTATCCTGGGCTTTTTTAGACTGAAGCAAACCCTACAACCTAGAACCTGAACCCCGGAACCATGCGCCTGCTGCAAGGCGGATCACGCGCTCCTGCCCAAAAGGAAAGATAGCTCATGGTTTTGCAGAATATCCTGTGGTTTAGGATTAAGGGTGTCAGTTTCCGTTCAGGAATGTCTTGAAGCTTTCGTATAAACCCAAACCCTGAACCCTAAACCCCTAAACCCTAATCGCCTGAACGCCCTAAGCCCTACACCCCTAAGGGCTTTTTGAGGATCCTTATACCTAGACCCTCCATCCACCCTCGATGACACCCTAAATACCCTTAATTTGCGACCATATGCCCCTATTTCACGGTACTTGGAGGGTCCTGGTAAGTGCCTCCACAAGGTTCCTCTCTGGAAGTCTCGTGACATGAGTTCTCACAAGTCATCCCAAGCACCTTAGGGTTGGGGGTGTTTTTGGGTTTATGGTTATAGGGTTTAGGGTTTTAGGGATTTAGGATTTAGGGCTTAGGGCTTAGATGTGTCGTTCTTCAACTTAGGGTCGCTCTTACGGTCCTTTTTCGGCTTCCTTCAAGGATTCCTTGGAGTTTTGGGGCCCCCTTTCTGGGGTCCTTTTTACAAGGATGCCGTTCTACATTGGGGACCTTAAAAGGGGCCCTAATTTAGGGAACTACCCACAGGGCCGACGCTTATACAGTGATGTAGTAGAAACCCTACCCTTGGCTTTGCACTAGAAGACCGTAGTATAAAGGCCTTTTTGATTAGAATAGGGTTTTGGGGCCCATTTATTTAAAAGAGAAAGGAGCCTCCAAAATAATATAGGTAATTATTTAG